CAGGCATCTTCAATCTTTAAATCTTTACAGTGATTATATTGGAGCTTCTCAACATATTCTGTCTTCTCCCCGGCCTACTTCTCTTGGCTTCAGAAAGAGAAGATACTCCCAACAATAATCATGACCTGCTCATAAAGTCAAGAACTCATGACACTTCTTGCCCTTTCTCTGGTCTTTCTCTTAATTTGGCTGAATAAGAGGCAGAGAGTGAGTGCTGAAACCACACTCTGTGTCCTCCCCTCAGTAAGTCCTGTGGGGACATGGCCGGATCTGTGGGGACACTGCTGCTGCCTGCAGCAATGGTTGTGAATCTTGATCACACACCAGAATCACCTTCAGAGTGTTTACAAATCCTGGAGCCCAAGGCAAATACCAGAGCTGTTAAATCAGGGCTGAACATAAGACAGTACTTTTGTTTTCTATGAACTTTTGGGGGGACCATCTTCATCTACTTTGATCTTCTTAGGCACCTGTTTCCAACATCAAGGAAGGAGAAAAATCATATCAAATCATTTTTATAGCTTAGCCCTTAGCAAGCATTAGCCTTTCTGTGCCTCAGTTTCTTCATTTCTATAATGAAGATATTTTTCCATTTATACTTCTTAAGTTTTGAAGAACACTTGAAGAGATATTACCTGAAAAACACTTGGGACCTTTCCTAGCACACGGCAAACGCTTGCTAGATGTGAGCTATATTGTGCTACATCCAGACAATAGCAAAGTTCATGCATAGTCAATATATTATTCTGCTGTCATGTTACAACACTGATCTATCAGAAAACATGAAATTCCAAAAGAGAATTTTTAAAATAACATCTGTTTAATAGATCTACCTAGTGTACACTGAGTTCTATAAACCTTCTATAAAAGGTTCTAGAAAAGGCTCAAAATCAATTTAAAAATTATTAAGCATATTTCCTAATAAAGATAATACTAGCTTTCCATAATACAGAGCTTTGTTCTAAAATATACACATTCAAATATATTAAAATATTTTTTTTCTTATTAGTAATAGCTGTTTCTGGGATTATTCTATTTGAAATGTTATGAAACCACACTGTATAATAAGGGATATGAACTACATGATTTGAAACATGTGTTGCCTAAATAACACATTTGTGTTACACATTCCAAAGAGTGTAGCTACAGTAGTAGAAAACAACCATTAAATCAATTTCTGGCCTATGAAATGAATGAGTTTGTCATCTCAATTTTAATAGTTACTTGAAAATGTAAACTAAAATTCAATAGGAAAATGAAAACTATCGATGTTTATAAGGTTGAAAGGAAAAAGATTTCTAGCTGCATTAAAACATGTAAAGAACAAAGAGCCTGAACATTTCTTGGTTCATTACTTTCAAAATGTGAGTTCTGTTTGAATTGTGTGTAGGATTTATTTATAAAACAAAAAATTCTTCCCACTTCTTTTTATGAACAATTTTCTGAAGTGATTTGCCAAGAGTATGTCCAGAGACATGATCATGTAAGTACATGTCCCCAAAGAGAGTTTTTTTAAGGAAAAATGCTAACATTCTTCTTTTGAGGATATTTGCACACACAATGGGGTTTTCTGTCTGGATAAATTTGTTTCTGGGGATGAGCACTTGCAAAGATAGCTTGCAGACTCAGTATTAGCTTGCAAAGATAGCTTATAAATTTGTTTCTGGGGATGAGCACTTGCAAAGATAGCTTGCAGACTCAGTATTAGCTTGCAAAGATAGTTTGCTATGACTCAGTATTAGAAATGCTTTCTTTCTATTAGATATATGGAGAATATAAATTAAAATATATGATAACATTGAAAAATCTAGGTTAATAATACTGATTATTTTGGTCTTTTAAAGATTCAATTTATTTTTTAAAAAAACCAGAATTTGATGGCATTCAGCTTCAATGTCACTCGAAAAGTTTTATTAATATTCCTGTCTCTGATCTTTAAAAGTTGGGTTTCTATACAGTTTAGTCAGCCAGCCAAACACTAAAATTATTTGAATATCTATCAAAAGTGACTAAACATACCGCTGAAAAGATAAGATATTTATTTGGAATTATAAAGCTCTTCAATTTCTCACCTCGTGCATAATATTAGATTAGTTTTTCTTGTGCTGTGTCAGTCTGTTAAAGTTTCAACCAGTATAGAATTATCAAAACTCTAAACACTTCAATATTTCACAAGTCAAAATTCGTTTTTGCCTATAGAACTACTTTGTAGCATTCTCATTTTAAGGAGCATTGTTCAAGCACTATTTAAATTTTTCTTCTCTTTAGAAATATTGATGATTTTTAATCCCCACATTAATCTTTTGCATGTTCTTCAAAATTGTGAGCACTGTACCTGCTGGTGCCCATCCTCTATCCAGACCTTCTGACTCTTCCCTTACATTCTTCTGCTTGGAGGTGAACTAGCCCCAGTGAGTGAGAAATACTGCACTCAAGTGACATTCACTTCACCTTGAACTCCAAGAGAAACCATTACTTGAGTTTAACTCATTGAGTTACTTAGTGTTTTAAGTAAAAAATGATGAAATGTATTATGTATGTGTACCAATTCCCTACAGTGAACATAATCATTGTGTACTGCAAACATGTATTAATAAAAATAAAACCAAAACAAAACAAAAAAGAAGATCCTCACGAAGCCGTGTAAGACATTGAATATAAACCTCTCCAAGATAAACACAGACCAAGAAAGTAGGCATTCCCATGGTAATTTAGAACTTACATCTTCTTTAGAAAACTCTCTAGTTTCTTCAACAAATGGGGAAAAAGGTAAATGGTAGGCCATTATGTCTCTTATCTTCTTCTCTCTCATATACACACACAAATTGATGCAAACATCTTGATGTTTCCATAATATATTTTTTAATCTTTACTCTAACTACAGTATCGCAAATTAGAAAATTATATAATCCTTTCAGGAGATGTCACTAGGGATTGAACCCAGGGCCTTATACAAGCCGAGCATATATACTACCCCTGAGCCACATCCCCAGCTCCTGGCAAATCTACCTGGATGCTTTAATAATGATCTTTTAACCACAAATATGTTGCCTGAGTATTTTAAGAAAGATGATGTGGGGGAAGTGCAGGGCTGTATTGCTTGACCCTCACACAGTTTAACAAACTCTAAATCCTGGCAATCCAGAGGCTACCAACGTCTCTGCAGTACCTTCTCTAGCAATCTGCTTGAGTTCTTCAAAGGTCACCCCTAGGTGCCTCTACTTTGGAATCAGCACATTAGGGAGCCCAGGAGAAACCCACTACCCACTCTTATTTAGGCCTGGTTATCAAAGAGAGAATGAAAGCTTCAGACACTTCTGCCCTCACTTTCAGTTAGCAAGCGTGTGGGTCTAAAATTATATGCTATGAGGACCTTAGAATACTCAAATATGATTAGAATTTTATGATTTGTATAGTTCAATTTCTTCCTTCTCTCCTTTCTATTCCATTGAAAATTTTTCTCTCTCTCTCCCTTTACACACATGCACTCACTCACACACACACACACACACACACACACAGAAAAGATGAGACAGGATGGGTAGAGATCAGGTTGTAAGTTAGATCAGAGCTGGAATTAGAACCCAAATCTCAGTAACTAAAGCCAGCCAACCAACTGTTATTCTAAACCCCAGACAAATCGGTCTCAGTCTCCTGAATTCTACATATGCTAAATCAGGCATTCGTATTTTATCTGACTTTGCCTGCTGCTGACTCATAAGGAAGCCACCTTTTCAATCCTTTGAAAACTCTATCAGTTCCAACTTGAAGGCTTAAGGCAAGTTATTTAACCTTTCTGGGCTTTATCCTCATCTAAAATTAGCCAGTTGAACTGGAGATCTCTGAGGAACTTTACAGTTATAAAAAGTCTGCTTTTCATTTTCTACTTCATGCTTCATGCTTGATGCCTGCGATTTTCACTAGGTGGCAGGATTCTACCACCACGTTACAAAAGAACCTTCTGATGGATGCCTCAGAGCAGAAAATTTCAAATAAACTCTTTTCTTTGGTACATTTTTAAAAAGCAAAAGCCAAAGGGAAAGAATAGATGCAAAGACAGTGACCCATATATTTCTGAAACATCTAGGTCCAGTTTTAATACAAGAATAAAGGAGGAAATTAAATTTTTTTCCCCTCACATACTCTTTTCATGCAATTTTTCACTTTGGTATTAAAATCAGGTAAAGCTTTGTTTTGTTTTGTTTTCATGCATTTTAAAATTTATTTTAGCTAAATGTACATTAGAAAGTAGCACCTCCTTTGAGCATACTAGTAGTGTATAAGCTAAGAAACAAGCCATGGAATGGTAATAGAAACATTAAACATTTTAAATAGTTACTGGGTGCATTACAAAGTTAGTCTTAGTTGCTGCACATTTCAAGTATCTTTGAATTTTATTCTGAGTCCTTAGCCAGTTTAGTATACATGACGGAATACACTAATTGAAGTTTTGCATTTATTTGTCATGGCCTTAAAAGGGTGTTCTTTTAAATAGATCTTAGGCCATCCCATCATACTTTAAAAATGATTGCCCAAAATTGGCCTTTTTGTGCATGCCACATAATAAATGTCACTACCAATACTTTATGAGGGTCCCCAAAATAACCAAGCCAGGAGTTTATGCCTGAGCTAAGCATTTCTTCTCTGCTGGAGCCAAGCAAAGAGACATGAAAGGAGAACTCAATGGCATTTTCCAGGATTGCCCAGAGAAAAAGCACCCCCGAGGCTTGGTGCTTGTCAGATGATGAACTGGGCCTTTTCTTCAGCTAAGTATGACACTTTAATCTCCCCTACTCACTGCTACATAACTGCATAATCTGCGCTGTACATTTCTCTTCTTAAAAAGCAAACCACATCCTAGAGAGATTGAACGTCAGCACCAAAAACAAAGTAATCAGTAGAACTGCAGGTCAGAATTTGAAAAAGCATCAACAGGTTGCTTTCGTCCCCTCCTTCCCAGACAGAGCATGCTGGTTGGCACCTCCTTCTCCTGCGCCTACCTTTGCAACTTGTAAGGGTTGCTTCTGCTCCCGGCCACCTTGCAATCGGAAGCCCCAGGGGGCCCCTCCAGTCATGGAAATGCAGATGAAATCTCCGGTGCCCATGTCTTCCTTTCAGGTGGGTAGCATGAAGAGCTGGCGAAGGCAGAGGCTTGGGCGCGGTGGAAGATGCGCCCTGAGCTCGCGGCCTCCGCCAAGGACGCAGGTCTGGGCGCGGCGCTGAGCCACCCCGCCGCTTGCCCGGCCGCCGCGGTGACTGCGCCGCTAAGGGGCTCGTCCGGTCCACAGCGCCCAGCATCGGGACTCAGCCCACTCCTGCGTCACGGCCGCGCTCGGCCCCCCTCGGTGACAGCGAGCAGGCGCTCCAGCGAGTCCCCAGCGGGATAAGACCGGGCGGGGGGAGACCGGGCGGGGGAGGCCAGGAGCGGAGAGCGATGTTTCTATTGCGTTAACAGAGTACATTCCAGCGCCTAAAAGAAGTATAACTGCAAAATTTAGGTTTAAAATTCTATAAATAGTAGAGGACATATGAAGGTTTTACTCTCCGTGCTGAAACATGCGCTCTGAGAACTCAGCTACTGTAGGATTATTTCAAATGTTTCAGGGTTTCCACATTGCTGAATGAATCAGGCAAGAGGGAGTTAAAGTGGATTAAATTATTCTTTTTCTATCTGCAGCTTGAAGAAGTAATCCTATAAGAAGAGGAAATAAAACAAAATATTGACTTTTTTAAGTCTTCTACTCTGAAAAAGTACTTTTCTGAACTATGATATATATTTAAGGGAGAGAGAGAGGGAGAGAAAGAAGAGGAGAGAAGGGGAGTGGAGAAATGAAGAGAGAAGAGAAGTGAAGAGAAAGAGAAGAGGAGAGAAGCAGAGAAGAGATGAGAAAAATTTCCCCCTGAAACTACCTGGTATAACCTTATCTGTTGCATGATTTGGGGTATTTTAAATTTAAGTAAGTGTCTCATTGCATTCCTTTCTGCGGAACTTCTTAAAACTGAATCCAATAGTCAGTCAACTGTACACCCTGTCAACTACAAGTTTATTTTTATAGTTTGTCATCTCACAGACTGAATCTGGGTGGTCCAGTCTGAAAGTGGATTTTATATGTGTTCCAAAATATTTTAATATTTAAAATTTGAATACATTCTCCCAAAAATGTACAAATGGGATATTTTACTGTTCCCATAATAATTTTGTTTTCCATAACACTCATCCATGTAAACACACAAAATAAAGCAGAGCCTGGAAAAGTCGGAGTTAGTGGGGGACACAAGCAACTCCCTGATCCACCGCCTGCCTCAGTCTTCACAAGCAGCGCACAATGAGCATTTCTGTCCCTCAGAAGCCACGCGTGTCACTGTAACTGTGCCTCATCACTGGGGCAAGGAGGACAAGGAAGTCAGTGACCTTTGGCACAGGAGGAGACCTTTGGAAGGTCACAAGGGTCAGATACGCATCCCAGATTTGATTCTCTTCAGGAGGGTGAATTAACTTTTGCCAAACCTTTTTTTTAAGTTGTGATATAAAACATGTCCTCTGAGAGCCGAAGGAAATAAAGTAACTTTTCACATTTGCTGCTTCTACTTTCTCTTGTCTGTCCCCACAATAGGAAAGACTCCAGGCGAAGTCGCTTGTGACTTCTTTGTTTTTGTGTCACGTGTGACGTTATTGAGCATACCTTCCTTACACTGTTTTGTCCCTTGGGCTGTAGCACCCAGAGAGGGCCTGGTTTTTCTCTTGCCTCTCTAGGCATGTCTTCCTTCCCTTCTTCGGCTGGTTCTGTGCTTCTACCAGTCTGTTAAATGTTACTTTTCACCAGAGATAGCTTGTTCTCTTTTTTCCTCATTTTGTACTTCCTTTCTGTGGATTCTCTCATTCACCCTACAGAATTTAGCTGCCCCCCTGCTGTCTCTTATGCTCTCCTTAATGCCAGCCCAGTATATTCAACTGTCTAAGAAACCTGTTTCTATGATGTGAATTTATGACAGAAACCTAAAATTCAATATATTAAAAACAAAGTTAATTATTCCTCTCCCCCATACCGCTTCTCCTCCTATGTCCCATATCTCAGGGTAACTGACTAATCACCTTTCTCTTATGCCTGTCTCCCTTCATCTCTGACTGGAATGCAGATTTGATACTGGAGATGGAAACTGGGCAGCCATATTGTGACCAAGCCTAAGACAACTGCAGAGACTATGAACCTGGATGAATCCATGCCAGCAGCTGTCCACCTCAGTCCCCTTATTGTGCAAGAAAAACCACCCATGTCTGTTTAAACTGCTATAGCCAAGTTTATTATTCCTTACAGCCAGCACATATCTAAATCCCACATTCAGGCAATCATAGCCTCTCCTATTTGACCCATTCTTCTACACAGTACCAAGGAATCAAAGTTGCTATGATTTATTGAAGATTTACTCTATGCAAAGAAATTATATTAATCTATATAATACTTTGTTTACATTATCATCATGTTAAGTAGTTATTAGTGTCTCTCTTTTACTGGTATTTCATTAAGCCCTAGATCCTAAGTTGTAGAGGCAGGATTTGAATCTGTTGTCCTATATTTAAAACACCTTTCCCATCTCCTCCTCCCTCCCTCTCTCCCTTCTCTCCTATCCTTCCTCCAGTGCTTAAGCACTCTCCCCTTTCCTCATCAAATGCATCCACTTATCCATTAAGACCTATAGGTCCAACTTAGAAATAGATTACAAACCTGCTCCTTCACTCTGTGCCCACCGCCATGATCACACCTGTCTCTGGCCTGGACTGCGACAATCTCCTACTGAGTCTCTAATTTCCAGACGTGTTTCTACTCTCAATTCTTTTCTCACTCTATAGTCAGGATGACATTTGTGAAATATGATATCTATCTTGTTTTTTCCTGTTTAAAATCTTCCAGAGCTCTGAGAATATAGTCAAAACTCTTTTACATAGCTAACACTTTTTGCCTCCCACTTCCCACTTCTTCCCCCACCACTCACTGTTCCTTACCTTGCGTTTTATGATTCAGACACACAGAAGTACTTTTAGTCTCTCCAACTTGCTTTGTTGTTCCATCTGCTTAGGCATTCCTCCAAGCCAGCTAGTCCCTGCCCACCCATACAGCACCTCATAATTCCCACTCATCCTTCCAGCCTCTCATTAGATAGCATATTCTCCAGGAAGCCTCTCCTAAATCCCCAATAACCATGTTAAATGCACCTTCAGTGTGCTGCCATCTCTTTCTACTTTCTCATTCTAATAGTTTCTTGAAATGTCTAAATCTCTACAAACTGTTTACTGAGAGAATGGGGATTATTTCGAGTTGTTAGGAATTGTACCTCAGCATGAGTAGAAAGAGTAGAGAAGATCTTCTAAAATTAAAATATAGAAAACAGAATCAATGAATTCTAACTTGTTTTCCTCCACTCCATTTGACTCAGAAAAATCTTAGATAAACCAAATGTCCTAAATTACACCATGTAGAAACCATGTAGAACAGATAACAACTAACTCCCTGATATCTTACCCCTCTCCATTGGTTAGTAATTATTGACTTTGTTAAAAATTGATTCTCTTATCCCAATATTTGGCTTTCTAAAGTGATAAGAGTTCATCTTTCCTCCTTAAAAGAGAAATTAACCTGGCCTAAATCAAGGAGTTTCCCTTGGTCCCAGTGATTATTCATTAAGGATCAATTACATCAGAGCCTCAATAGTTTTCTGGATAGTTTGTCAGGACTAGATCTTTCCCCCATAGATAGTGACATCGGCCAATGGGAGAAGCCAGAGTGAAGATAAAACATCATAAGTCATGTTGGGCAAGACTATCCTTGATGCTCTCTCATGCCTCTATAGGTCTTTCTGGGTGGACAAGAATGCAAGGTTCTATGTCCCTTGTCCTGAGCCATTTCTTAGGTTTATGTTTGAGGCAAACAATAGTGAGGGATGAAGTTATATCTCAAACTAGAACAAAGAGTGGTTTACTAACTGATTCTCTCTTAAAAGCAATGAATTCTCCAAGCTTGGTGCTCCTTAGCAGTGATACAAACCCATGTGCCTATAGCATCCATCTAGATCTATTGTGTGAAGCTCATGAGGACTGACACAAGATGGATGGAGGCAAACACAGTGGCGCTCATACTGGTTGAGGTGTCCTGAGTAATAAATATCTTTGTCTCTGACACAGAAGTCACATGAAACTTTCAGGAACTACAAAACAGTAGCAGGCTAATTAGCAATTTACAAGGACAGTATAATCAAATCCCAGGCACAACAGGATGAAACTGAGATATTAGTAGAGAAATAGAATCAAAGCTTTGATCAAATTGCATGTGTGCCTGCCCTTCATTTTATTTAGATGTTAAAAATAAAATTCAGAGCAGAAACATTATTTTCTAAAGAAAAAATATGACTTAGCTTTAACAATGATCCTATAGGACTAACTCTACTTCCATCACTCTCTATTTTCCTCTCATTTTAATAGTCTATTTTAGAGGATAAATAATTTAACTAAGATTTAACAATGTACCAAATGCTCTGTTTTATTCTCTCCTCTACTCTAGTATTAATGAATTCAGCAGGTAATACCTATTCTGTGGTTTGCTATTTCACAACAGCATGAGTTTTCACTGGAAGGCCACATTATGAAGCCAAAGTTTTCCACTAAGAATCACCTAGGGATAGAAGGGGAGGGAAGGGAGGAGAGGGGAAGGAAAATAAAAAGGATTAAGATGTGATATGTATATGTGCCAACTCCCCATGGTGAATTTATTCATAATTTATTCATTATGTATCACAAACATGTACTACTAATAAATATACATATATATTAAAAAGAATGACTTACTATATAATTAATTAACATTGACTACATATACCTTACTCATACCTCTTTTTCATCTTTTTAATTCAATTTTCACTCAAAAATATCATTTTTAAAATTCTGGCTTAATTAGTCCACTATTTCCTCCTAATTATTTAAAGATGTAGAAATTACTCTTTATTATGAGTGAACTAATAACTTTTTTTGGAGAAAAATAAAGCAACTTAGCAAAAGAAGAAACATTATTGTGAAACCACATGAATTTGGAATGACCAAACCGTAAGTTGATTCACCAAGTGTCTTAATTACTTAACACCCACAACTAAAAGGAGGAGAAAGGAGAAGTTTATTTCGGCTCAGGATTTCAGTCCATGGTCGGCTCCAAGGTAGAAAGGGCATGGTGGAAAGGCCTGGGCACTAGAAGGCGCTCATCCCATGGGTGTAGTGAAGCAACAGGAGGAAGATCTTCCCTTTCAAATCAGGCCCCGGGGACCCACTTCCAACCAGGCCCAGAGGTAGCGGCAAGTCAGCTACAGTG